AATTTCATTTAAAATATCAAAATTCTCTTCTTTCAATTCTTAAATCTTAAGAAATCAAGCGTGACACAAAGCGTCTCCACCATAAACATTAACTTATCTTTCTCGTCAATATCATAACGACGACGTTTATCAACCTCTAGAAAGACGAACAAAAACCTTCAAGATCCATAGAGCAGCAAATCCCCTCTCCAGATCCTCTGCTTAACTCACCATCAGATCTGGGAAAAACTCCCCAATTTTCCATCACTTTCCCGCGGAAACAAAACTAACAACACATTTTCCTGGAAAATAACCACACAAAAAAAAATGTCGCACAACAGCGACACGATCCCTCTCCACGCATCTTCCCAATCAGACATCGACGAGATCGAGAACCTCATCAACTCCTCCATCCAATCCAGTCCTTCAACAGTCCTACCCGCCCGTCCACCAAGCCCGCCCCGAATACCTGTATCCTCTTCTCCATTCATCCAATCAAATCTTCCTCCACCTCCAGCTCAAGCACAGCTCCCCACTCTTCAAAAACCGCCATCTGCTGTCCCCTCCGCCCCTCTACCTCCTCTGCCACCTAGCAGTGGTAACTCTTCCGGTGGTAATATTGCTGCTACCGGGTTCGGGTCCCTTCCGAATACGTTGACGGAGCCAGTTTGGGATACGATAAAAAGAGATCTGTCTAGGATTGTGAGTAATTTGAAGCTGGTTGTGTTTCCAAACCCGTATCGTGAAGATCCGGGTAAGGCCTTGAGAGACTGGGATTTGTGGGGTCCCTTTTTCTTTATCGTCTTCTTAGGACTCGCTCTTTCTTGGTCCGCTTCTGTTAAAAAGGTTAGTAAAATCTATTTATTTTTAACTCTTTAGGATAATTTTTGATGCCTGTGAGAGTTGAAGAATGGGATTAGTAGGAATGTAAGCTTTTTGGTCATTCTTTTTATTCCTTACAAGTTAATGCGGTTTTTGAAGGAATTTATAAGGCAGAGATAGATGATGGATCCTGATATATTTAACTATAGTTTGGAGACATGAGGTAGCAATGTTGGCTTTAGAATTTGTGGCTCCCAGGCACATAATATGATCTGAATGCACTGCAACATTTAGCCACTGTCATATAATGGGACATGTTAATTGCATCCGTAACAATCGCAGCAGCTGTTTTGTTATTGTATTGTCCATTATTTCAAGCGTGAGGGCTGTTGTTTTTTCATAAAAGGTCACCTAAATGAATAAAAATGTCTGCATGTTATTGTTGCTTTGTTAAATGTTGCAGGAAAACACTTAGTTTGTGTTGCATACGTCATAGCATTGCATCATAATAGGATTTTCAGTGTGGTAACTGTACTTATTTAGTCCCTTTCTGATGGATTTGTGGAAAATGTATGCATGAAAGATAAATTTTTTAATATTGTTTACCATGCCGTGCATTCCGTGATGGTTGAGACCAACATGTAAACACCCTTGACAGTGTACAATGCATCTTAATACATTCTTATGAGACTCTAAAGGATTGCAATGGTTAACTAATTGGTAGTTTGAAGAACAAAGATGTTTAATTTTGAGTGATCAAAAATGGAGAACAATGAAATTTCTGCCAGACAACAGGAACACCAGAGTGCTGTAAATTGTTTCATGAAAAGTGAATTGTGCTTTGTGGTTTCATGTTTATGCCAATTGATTGTGAAATTGTTGAGGGTTGTAAAAGTAGGGTTTGAAGGAAGTGAAAATAGGTCTGAATTTTTGTTGGTTTTTCTAGAATAAAAAAATATTCTGGGTTTTATGCCTGGATTAATTAGAAGGTACTTAAATGTCTCATCAGATATCTTAGTATCAGGATTGCATCACACAATCTGAAGGATGGCTAGAAAGCTTATAAAACTTCTGCGAAGCTTTTTTTTCATCCCTGGAGTAGAACATCATAATTAGTTAAGAATAATTTATGGACTTCGTTAGGTCTTCCTAATTCTTTAAAGACTTTTGACTCTAGATGGAAAACATGGAAATTCGGACCCTAAATTAATTATGATTGCATAATAAGACCAGAAAACATTAAAACACAACGACAGAAATCCATCTCATGCCTATTAAATTGAAAATTATCAAAATACTTTAGAATCTTTTTTCTTTTAATCAAAAAGAGAATAAATGAAATGGAATCATAGGTTTTCTGATGCAAAATAAATGTAAAATAGTGTTTGATACTAATTTTTTTAAAAGAGATCCAAGCAGCTCTAAGTTAAACTTTTTTTGGGTTTGTTTGTTGCTGGTGTTGGTTACAGTGTGATGGCTATATAACTGTTGTGACAAACAGAGAAATAGCCCTTTTTCCTGCTTTCCTGGATCAACTTTTCATCGTATGCTATATAAGCTATTATGTGGTGACAAATAGCAACATTATCAAACGTCTTGGCTTTGTCCATGCTATGTGGTGGTCACAAAACTTATTTGTGGTGTTCACATAGTGTTTGAATGATTGCTAATCAATTGCTGTGTGGTCATCACAGGCCAACCAACAACAAGGTCAAACGAATCCATAGTTGTGACAAGGTAGCACTGAAGCAATTGTATGGTTACCAACAAGCAAGGCCAAAACAACTGCATGAACATTCATGGATATTTATGCCTGCTATTTGGTCAATGCCTTGCAATGCTTCTTGACTTTGTATGTGTTGATTAGTTATTATATCCAAGGCAGAATGTGCTAGATCAATCAGAAAGTTCAGTTGGGATTTAAGTGCTGATATGTGATTTTGGTGTTGAGTTGTGATTTCCTTTTCATTTTCTGTCTTTGTGCATGTCTTCTCATGTTTCAGTTTTTGTGCAATGCTGAAGTTGACCTTGATGTTCTTGCAAGATCTAGAAATGGACAGTTATGAATGAAGCATGTTCTTTGTATATTGAGAAACTAATATCATCCCACTCTGGATTGATGATTTTAGCTGCCCATCTTGCTCAATGTTTTCTTTATCAAAGGAACATTTGATTTGTTATTATAGCAAAATGCTGCAAGTTTTTGTTCAGTTCTAACAGTATTCATGTCATTTTCCAGTCTGAGGTTTTTGCTGTTGCATTTGCACTGCTCGCAGCTGGTGCTGTAATCTTGACTCTGAATGTTCTGCTGCTGGTAATATCTTCTTTATCCTGCCCTTTTCACGAAACACAATCACAATAATCCGTGTGTGTATGCTCTTACATCCCACAGGATTGAACACATTAGCTAGCTTTAATTTCTCTGATATATTGCCAGTTTTATATCTGGTCAAACGTTAGTGTTGCATAGAATGGAGAAATTCAATATATATGTCGGCATACCATTATGTTCAAATTATAGTAATTTAAAAGCCTGCCACTTGCCAACATCGCAAATGATTTCCATCTTTGATGTTACAGGGTGGACACATAATTTTCTTCCAAAGTCTGAGCCTCCTGGGTTACTGTCTCTTTCCTCTAGACATTGGAGCTCTCATCTGCATGTTGAAGGACAATGTAATAATAAAAGTGATTGTGGTATTTGTGACACTGGCTTGGAGCTCGTGGGCTGCCTATCCATTCATGAGTTCAGCTGTAAATCCAAGAAGAAAGGCACTTGCACTATACCCTGTATTTCTCATGTATGTATCAGTTGGTTTTCTCATCATCGCCATTGATTAATGCATAAGCAACTCCCATTGTTGGAATTTTCATAAACAATTAAACTCACAGCAGTACATAGGAACTTTACATGGTGGTTAATTTTCTGCTCATGTTACTGTACTTTTTTACCCTTTTGACTCCACATGTTCGGAGATTCAATCTGCCAGATGTTATATAGTAGTATGAAACTTTGATGTGGTTATGTACCCCACTTCATGTCATTTCTGAAAACGGTGTCTGAGAGGTTCCTCAGGCCCTGCAGGGAAATTTTGTATTCTTTTTAACCTGCCATTTTTTATGCTGCTTCTAAAGATGAGAGCTGTTACTGTCACAAAAATTTCATTACTGAACGTTCTGTGGTTGTTTTTTCCCGTTTTGCATAAAGTTTGTATTATCAAGTCGAGATTTAATAAGAGAAGAATACAGAGAACCTTCCAATGCCTATGGGGCATTTTTTAAATGGCATTGTGGAAGCTTGGAGTTTAGTGACAGTAGGAACATGATATTCCTTTATCTTCAGAGAGAGAGGGGGAGAGAGTACGAAAGAATCCCTTGTGGTAGATTCTAGTTTGGAACTTGTGATTTGTTAATTACACTGCAAAGGAGATGGATCTAGTTATGCTGTGTATAAACCCTAAACTTTTCCTTTAGGCTTAAAATGCTAATTCAAGTTCACTGTTTTGTTCTGCTCATTCCATTACTTCATTCATCTTTTCATACAACCAAAAATGAAGAAATAGTTAGGTAAATCAAATCATCATCCCAAAACTAAAACATTAAAAGAATATATGCGTATCGTACATGATTACCAGCATAAAGTTGCTATTTTCTGATAGAATTTCCACTTCATTAAACACTAAATAATATCATTTATCATTCAAATTTTCAAAGTGCAAAACTCATTGTATTAAGTGACTAGTGCAAAACTCATTGTATTAAGTGACTTGGAATTTCCACTTCATTAAACACTAAATAATACCGTTTATCATTCAAATTTTCAAAGTGGAAAACTCATTGTATTAAGTGATTAGTCTCTCAATATTCAACTTCTTCCTTTTTCAACCCTTTTTTTTTTCTAGGCCGCCTTTTTTCCAACCTTGCAACCTCATTTCAGTTGTTGTTGTTGTTAAAGAGAAAAGGAGTAAATGGCAAATCAAACTGTTTCTATTTCTTTCAGTCGAAGTGGTTTGTGTAATACAAAAGGTGATTAATTGTTGTAAACTGAGAATTTTAAATAGATGGTAAAGGATAAGAAATCCATTGATGGACAGGAAGATCTGAGCATCCAAGGGTATCAAGACTTTTCAGAAGAAAAAAGGACAAGTTCTGTATTTGTAAGCATTTAAAATTATGGGAAAACAAGAGGGGAGTTTAACTTATGCAAATCTCATGTACTTTAATCATTTGATTTGGATGAAATGTTAAGTTTCTTTAATAATATCTCAGAATTAAAAGGTGACATAATGATTCCAAGATTATTTAGAAGCCTAGAACAAGTTGGAGATTGTCAAGAAAATACAAAGATACATGTGCATCCAACTACTGAGCTTGAGAAGTCAATGATTGCTGTGTATTGTCGGGAAAATACAAAGATTATTCATGTACATATACAAGCATGATTATGTGGGCTACCAGCTTGAAAAATTGTAACACCCACCACCCATCGCAGCATGGAGGTTATGAGATTCAATCTCTACCAATAGCAACTCAATAAAGGGTGGTTTGATAATGGCTAATCTTCAGCAGAGAGACACAGACTACATTGCTAAATGTTACAGATGCCAGAAACCAACTCTCACTTTCAGAAGCAAAGGGGTACTAGGAGGGAAACATTTACCATGTTCATTAGAGAGAATAGCTAATATTCATCCAGTCAACAAGGTCCTACACATTTAAACTACAGGAAAAAATAAATAAAACACAGTGTCATAAGCAGTAAACAAGCCACGTACAGTATACAGAGAATTCATTCATTTTATTCATTCTTCCCATCACATAAGAGAAACAAAGAAGAGACAGGCTGAAAATTAAAGAAAAGGGAAAGCAAGAAAATGAGTGAAAAGCGAGCCCAATTAACCAGCAATCAAGAAAAAGCATAGAAATGAATCCATCAATTAAAAAAAAAAACAGAGAGAGGGACTTACGAGTTTGAAGAAAGAGAGAAATGGGAGGTGAGTGAATCAGGGCTTCATTTTTTTCCTTCTGTCACACTGCAAATTGAGATGGATGTTTGCTTGCTTGCGCTAAATAAGCATTGGAAGAAGAGGAAGAAATGGTGAAAGAGTGCTGCTGACTACCGAGCCTGTTCTGTTGTGTTGTTTATTTTGGGCTCCGGTTCTAAAGCTCAGGTCAATTAAGAGCCCATCCCAGCGATAATTTGCCCAAAAATCTTATGGCCGGAATAAGTTACAGCTTACACAATAGATGTATTTGGGAATTTCCGAATAGAGATTAATTCTATCTTCGTGATCCGGCATTTTAACATTGTGATGCTGGAGCTGAACTTGTTTGACAAGGTTGATTAGGAAATTAATGTTAACAAACTTTAGTGGGGTGATCTTTTGAGCTTGCAAGAAGTGAATCAAATGAAAAGAGGGATGATTTGTGTTTTTGCCGGGTTGTTTTGAAATCAATTCTTTATTGTAATTGAATTTAATTGATAAATAATGTCAATTTACATGTTTGGATGTATGATAAATAATGTCAATTTACATGTTTGGATGGATGAGATAAAATTTATTTTATTTATTTTTTTATATTACTTTTATTATCTTCGTTTTATTTCTTTAAAGGTTTTTTAAAAAGTAGGTAAATTGATATTTTAAAAAAGTAGTTTAATATTAATTTTTTTCTTTAAAATTATAAATTAGAAGGACTAACCTTTTATTTACTTATGTAATATTTTTACATATTGAATTCTATTTAAAATTCAACTTTTATCACTCAATTTATTTATTTGTATATAGTCACTCACTTTTTTAAAAGCTGAATAGAAAAACTGAAACTTAGGAATGCTCGAAGGTGTTATGATTTATTGTGGTTTAGAGAACGAGCCTTCTTCAGACGCTAATGAAGTTTATAAAAGTCTGGAAAAGTGGTGATGGGTATTTAATATTGTGTTTGTCAATAAAATAATACAGATTCTACATTTTATAATTGGCATGCAATGATAAATGACCAAGAGAATTAAATCCGTAGCTAATATAAAACGACCCAGTCGTAAGAATGAGATTTAGGACTTGAAGGCTCCAAAATATTAATGACTTTATCCAAATCCTTAATTTTTAATATCAAGAAAAAATATTCAGTTAGCATGTTTTAAAGAAGGGAAAAAAAAATATGCTATAGATTATAGATAGATCTGACTAGGTACAAAAATTTGTTTTAATTAAGTTATATGATAAAACAAAAAAGAAATTAAATGAACTGGATTTATGTCATAATTATTTGCACAAAAAAGATACTTATAAAAAAATCGATGAAACTCAATTTTTAAATAATATAATATTGAACAATAATATATATATATAAGACAAAAAAAAAAAGCAATATCTGTCGACTCAAGATAGCATACTAGGCTTATAATCTAAATTATGAAATCAATACAACTTTATAAAAAATAAAAATAAAAAAAAAATATTGTCCAATTACACAATCCAAATATTAAAAAAAATCAATTAATAAAAATATCCTAAGCTAAAAAACTACTAGTAAATCTAAGAAGTTCGTCAAACCCCACAAGTTAGATCATAAAAATAAGATAACCTAATAAAAGCAAAAACTAAAAAGAAAAATATTAAACCAATTTCTAGAACAACCAAGTTTAGGAATTATTGAAAGGCAAAACTAAAAAAAAAAAAATCTTTAAAAACAAAGACTTAAGTAAATATTGGTTAGCCCACAACTTAGGTTATAAGATTGGGTTAATCCCACCTAAAGAAAAGTAAATAAAATCACAATGTTTAATTTCCTAAAACTCCAATATTCAAGATTGAAATTCAAAAATAAAATCATTGTAAAAAAAATATCTAAAAAGTGATTAATTTCAACTCAAGTTAACATTTTAAACCCGTGATTTGGATCATTAGGTTAGAATCACAAAAAAAAAATTACAAATCTAAATTCCGAATCAATTCAATGTTGAATGATAAAATTAAAAAAATCAATTAAAAAAAAAACTCAAAACAAAAAAGATAATTATAAAAAAATAAAGATAAAAATTAACATGAAAATAAAATAATAGAGCACCTTTCAACTTTGCCTAGATTATCTTGAATCTCAATAAAATAATAAAGAAAATAAAAGGAAGAAGAAAAATATTGTTGCTACTTAAACATCAACCATGGATAGAAATGCTTCATCCTAATGGAGAGGACTAGACGTGATGCTGGACAACTATTTTTGACCTTTAGAGGAGGCTATACATGTTGTTTGGATGTGGTGGGCCATTACATATGTTGTAGCATGGGATTCATGCACCAACCTATTTAGCTTCCTTGTCTACTCTATTCTATTATATTTATTTTAATTTTAATTTTGGCTTTTAAAAGATAATTTTTTTACATTAATATAATTTTATTTTATTTTTCTAAACCAAACATCAAACAAGTGCCTAAAATTTTTTTTTTGACATTGCAAAAACCCTATATTTATAAAAAAAAATTCAAATTTCAAATAACATCAACATAAATGGATCAAGTTAAAAAAAAATAGTGACTGAAAACCAAAAATAAACTCTTTATATCAACAAAAAAAATCATATTTATTTAAGACTCAATGTTGGTCTCCCAAAACTATAATCATTTTAAATTAGTAAAATTAAATTTTATTTTACAAAATTGACCATCAACATAATGATAAAGTATTTCTCTAACACCTCGAGATCTCCAAACATGAAAAACAAGTAAAAAAATTAATGTTAAAGTACTAAATAAAAAAATAAAACTAATTAAGGAATATAGCATAAAAGATTTTAGAAACTAAAGTTGAAAAATGGTGAATGGTGAATGATAAATTGAATTTCAATTCTAAATTAACTTAATATTAAATTAAAAAATTAAAAAAAAAAATTTCAAACTACCTTTCAACTTTAACAAGACCAGTAAGAATTTCAAAAAAATAAAAAAAAAATAAAAAAAAAGAAGAAAAAATATCATTGCAACCTAAGCACTAATCATAGATAGAAATGAACCACTCTAATGGAGAGGACTAGATAAATGTTATTATAAATGACTATTTTTTATCATTGAAAAAGGTTGCACGTGTTGTTTGAATGTGATGGCCACTCTATATCTTGAAGCATGTGATTCATGCACTAATCAAGTTGGCTTCCCATCTATCCCAATCCATTATATTTTTTTTAGTTTTAATTTTAGTTTATTTAAAATTTAATATTTTTACATTAACATAATTTTATTTTATTTGCTAAACCGTGCATAAATTGAGTGTTTGGATTTTTTTTCTCAACAATAAAAGAACCTTATATTTAGAAAAATAAAACAAATAAATTAAAATTCAAAATAAAATCAATGTGAATAGATCGAGTTAAGAAAAAAAAGTTTAGTTACCGATAAAAAAACAAACTCTTTAATATTAATAAAAAGAAAAAGAAAAGAAACTTAATATTTATCCAAGACTCAAATGCCCTAAACTCTAATGGTTTAAATTAATACAATTAAATTTTATTTTGTAAGATTAATCATTAATATATTGATGAAATATTTCTCCAACACCTCGAGATCTCTATATATAAACATGAAAAATAAATCATCTAGGCTAATCTCAAATCAAAGTAATGTTAAAATAACAAAAATAAGAAAAGGAAATTAATCAAGGGATCAGAGCATAAGAGATCTTAGGAACTAGAAAAAAGAAAACCATTGATTGAATGAAATGGATCTCCTCACCGGAAATAGTATTTCAATGATGCCTATTATTAGTTTATTCGTAATAATCTTATCTTGACCGTGAAAGTAAAATTAATATATGGTATTGTGAAAAGGTGTAATATTGTCGTCGACAATGGTTATTATTATATTTTATTTAAATGATATATTGCGTTCAGCATTCTATAAAAGTAAAAATAAATAAAAATGTTTTGCTTCCGGCCGCCACCTCCCCCCTGGATGATGGCTTGTGCAACTGTGTTTTAAGAGTATTAAAATTAAAAATACATTAAAATAATATTTTTATATTTATTTTATACATAAACATATTAAAATTATTATATTATCAACTAAAAAGTTATTTAATAGATAGATAGAGGAGGCAGACAACATTTTTTTCAAAATAATTACGCACGGAAAATCAATTTCCTGGCTCAACTAGAAGAAAGAGTCATTGAGATGTTAAAATTCAATGGATTTTATTTATTTATTTATTAGCATTATTTCATGGGAATGCTTGAATGAATGAATTTCTCAGCTTTCATTTTCTTTCGTCTGCCAATCTTTGACCACAACTGCATATATTTTACTCTCTCTTTTTTCTTCTTTTAAACAGAGATAACAAATTAGAAAATTGTCAATATATAAATCATTAGCTTGCTTATAAGAATTAATTAAGAAGTAACTGCAAACGTTGAGGGCAGTACAGAAAGCTAGAACCTTCAGAAATTTTGCTCTTTGACTGGTCTCCATCTTCCTTTATATTATATTTGACAAAAAAAACATTAAAAGAACTCTAAGAAAATGTCTAGGTAATTTAAGACAAATATAATTTTATTCTTAAAATGATATTTTTAATATACTTTAAAGTTATTTATTTCCATAAAAACAAATAAAAAACTATATTATGAATTTAATATAAAAAGATGAGATAACTAGGTTAAGATGTCTTAGTATGATTAACCCATTTAATAAAAAGATCACGAGCTCAACCCAAACATGTGCATCTAGCATTTTTTTTTTTTTTCCTCATGCATAGGAGAGGATGACATTTTCTTGCCCTCCTTTTAAAAAATAAATAAATAAAAGTAAATAATATATTATCTACTACATTAAATAACAAGTTATTTACTAGTCTAATTTTCAACCACTAGAGAGATAGTTAAAAAAAATTAGAGTTTTTTAGATTAAAAATTTTATTTTTCAACATATTTGCATCTACAGACATCTAATATACATCCATACCATATTAATAAACCAATATTTCAACTTATAACATCTCTAGATAAAAAATTTTTTGAAAAAGAACACCAAATTTAACAAAAAAAAATTCTCTCTTAACCTTGATTTACTCTTTTATGGTGAAATGAAGGTCTAAAAACATC